CATCCCACTGGGTCTGTCTTCACTGCCTCTTTTTATAGGGTGACCCTAGTGACAGGAGGCATGCCCAGAGAAGGGTCAGCTCCTGGCATACTGAGCATGTGTGCTCCATGCTGGGATGTACAGTTTCAGGTGTCTGTAATGGTGAGAGTTGCTGGTTCTGCAGGGTCTTTTGTCTTTCAAATGCTGGTCTTGTCTCTGTTCCTGGGTGACGTCCATGGTTCCTGGATGAATCAATGCGAGGTCATGGCCCAGTCATTACAGGCCATTCAGTAGAGGCCTGCTACCATTGTATTTCAATCATTTCCAATCACACTCATTCATTGGGGAACCAATTTACATGGGAGGGATATGTGACTCATACAGTTGCGACACACAGGGGATGCCCGGGCAGAGGACACAAGATGGAGACTTGACATATAAAATGGAAACTTGACATGACTTTGGTTCACTTACAAACACAGGCCTAAACCATACAATATCCATATGAAACAATAAAAATCAATACAAAAATGATAAAAATACAGTATACAACAGTAAAATTAATACAACCCTAATAATAGTACAATATAAAACAGTGGATATCCAAAACCAAAAACTTGCTACCAAAATAAAAACATTTAAAGCTTATCTTATATCTTAGCTTACTTATACTTACCTACAGGGAATAGAGAGAGATAGAAAAAGTCAGAAATGGTTGGGGAAGGAGAGCGAATGCGATTAAAAAAAAAAGAAAGAAAAACTGGGGGTTTTGCTACATAGCTTTTTGTTTTAAAGTGTCAGCACTGATGATGAATGCACCTTACTTCAAGAGTAGTCTCAAAGATGAAGGATGGTCCAGTAAGTGGAAGCTAACCCAAGTTCAGTCCCCACCCCATCACAGACTTCCTTTGTGAGTTGGGACAAGTCATGAAGCATCTTTCTGCCTCTGTTCACACTCTGTAGCTGTGGATGATGGCACTGCCCTGTCTCACAAGGGTGGTGTTGTCATGAGGTGCTCAGATACTGTGGCGATAGTAACCAGGTAAGGGACAGCTTCTCAGATAATAAGAGCTACATAGCAGCATTCACTTCAATGGAGCAATGGCAGTTTACACCCAAGGAGTGAGGATCTAGTTTAAAGACTTTGGTAGAATTACTTACAGAGTACGGTAGGAGGAGTAGGGGGAATAGAGCATGGGTCTATGAGAGGGTGGAGAGTAGGTCTGTGTGAATTCCACCACCAGTTTTCTTTTGATGCTGTTTTGACCTGTTTTGAGGTTAAAACAGCAAAAATGAAATGAAACAGATATGGTCGGAACAGCCTCAAAACGAGGCAAGTCAAAACATTTCGCCGTTTCAATGCTGTTTTGACGTTTCGCCCACAGGCTATAATGGGGAAGGACAATACAGCCTATAACTTTGTCATTTCCAGCCAAATTTGGATAAAACTTGCAGAAATGGTAGCCCCTTCTGATGGGCATAAAGTGTTGCAAGTTTGTAGAAGATAGGTGCAGGGGGTCCAGAGAAACTGCACCCCAAAATTTTGAGAAGCAAACTTGTGTCATGTGTATGTGTTAAGCCACAGCAGGGTAAAAACTACAGGATTGTTAGCCCATGTTGAAGCCACAAAGCCTGCCATTTTTAAAGGAGATAGGTGTAGGGGGTTTGGAGAAACTGTACCCCAAAATCCTGAAAGCAAAACATGTCACGTGTATGTGTTAAGCCACAGTGGGGTCAAAACTGCAGGCATGCTAGCCCCTGCTGAGGCCATGAAGCCTGCTAAGTTTCAAGAAGATTGGTTCAGGGTGTTTGGGGGAACTGCACCCCAAATTCTTGAAAGCAAAACTCATGTCACGTGTATGTGTTAAGCCACAGTGGGGTCAAAACTGAAGGGGCGGTAGCTCCTGGTGAGGACACAAAGCAGATCGAAACAGTGTCGAAACAAAACTGGTGGTGAAATTTTGCACAGCTCTAGCGTATGCTGAATCATGTGCCTGGAGCTTTCCAAACCCCACTGTTACTCTGATTTCCATTTAATATTTCTAGGGTCCAGTGTCATCCATGCAAACCCACAGGAGGGAACAAGTTGGTCAGGCAAATCAGCAGCTTTGAAGCCAAGGAGCTTCCAAGGGAAGATATCATTGCAGGGGAGAGAGGCACAACTATGGAAAGGGGGAAAACATATGGTTCTTGAGGTGGGTTTAAGTTCACAGACCTCGAATCACATCCCACCTTCTTGCCCTCCCCTTTCCTAGTCCCTTCTCTGGCAGGATGGTTTTCTTAGTGTGCATTGAACTGCTCTTCTGCACTGAGTGATGCATTCATGTTTTCATGGCTTATTTATGGATTTACCTAACTATGAGGCTAGCTAGGGGGATATTTGAAAAGGTATTTTCCTTTCCAAGCTACAAGTTCAGAGTTATATTTTGGGAGAGGAGAGGAGGAGCAGTTACAGTTAGTTTTTCAACTTTTGCCAGAAAGGACTAGACATACATGTGACATGAGTTTTGCTTTCAAGACTTTGAGGTGCAGTTTCTCTGAACCCCCTGCACCTATCTTTTTGAAACTTGGCACGCATCATGCTCTCAGAAGGGGCTACCACTCCTACAAGTTATAACCTGTTTCAACCTTCCCTATTATATCCTATGGGTGAAAAGTCGAAACAGGGTCAAAACCGCAAAACGTTTCGACAGAACAAAATGGAACAGCTGTTTCAACTCGAAACAAAAGTCGAAATGAAACACTGTTTTGTAAAAATGTCAAAAAACTGGTTGAAATGAAATGCTTCCATTTCACACAGCCCTAGTAGTGAGTTTGTTTAGCAGTTTGAAATGGGAAGTGTTTTGTAGAATATTTTGTATACAAATAAATGTTTGGTCAAACAATTCTGGGTCATTCCTGTTTTATTTATTGATTACAGAGATATAATTACATGCTACAAAGATTTTACTATCTAGTAAAACAGAATCATACAAAGAAGGACCAGAGGGGATCTGTAAGACCATCAAGTCCAGTCCCCTGCCACAGGCAGCAGGTAATTGGGCTCAAACGAGCTCAACAAGGGCGTGTCCAACTTTCTCTTGAACACCAAAATATAATTATGGTAAACTGAGTACAGGATGGATCGTAGCCCCCGCTGCTGGGTGATGGCTAAACAGACTTGGCCAGACCAACCTGGTTGTTTTCCCTGTCAAAGATGCTGTAGTACTCCCTGATGAATACATCTCCCAAGACCCACAGGTTCATATTCGTGGTCTGAATATTACTAGTGCAGACTCCTTGACTATACTAGATTTGGACAAAAAACAAACAAACGTTAAAATCATTGGTTAGGAAGTCATATTTGCTTCCAGAGAAGCTGTTTCTTTCACTGTAATTCCCAACAGCTTTATTTAGTCAATTTTACAGGGCAAAATCCTGTCACTGGCAGCAATTGGCAATATTCTTTAGCAGCCGGCTGGAATGACCCAGCTTGGATCTGACACAGGCTAGTGCTAGGACCCGACTGCTGAGACTACTTGCTTCCCCTTGCTGTGGTGCAGGGGAAGCTCCCACTGCCTGGCCATGGCATGGGCAAAGCCCCTGCACCATCAGAATCCTGCCAAAGACCCGCCCCAGCTCCACGGGCAGGTTACTGTAGCTCCACAGGCTGATTGTAGCCTACAGGTCATAGGTTGCCAACACCTGTGCTAGTCATTGGAAGAGCTTTAAAGAGCCATTGTGGCTGGAACACCAGCAGGGATTTAGAGCCTTAAAAATGGAGTAGAGCAGAACATCAAGAGATCATCACATCAACCATCTGCCCCAAGGCAGCTTCAGTGGATGGTTGTCTAACCCATTCTTAAAACCTTAAATGAAGGAGCTCTCAGAGCATCTCTCAGTAGCCTAGTAGTTCTAGTGCACATTTTTAGTTAGAGAATATTTCCAAATGTCTAGCTCAAACCTTCTTTTCTTTCAATTATACCAATTCCTTCTTGGCCTTCCTCCCTAAAGAACATCATAATACCATCCTCTCAATAACAACCTCTTGCATCTTGAAGAGCTATCTCCACTTTTCTAGACTAAAAAAGCCCACTTCTTTCAACTTTTCCCCATAGGTCCTGTGTTATAAATCTCTTAGGGTTTTTGTTGCTCTCCTCTGGACTCTGTGCAGCTTGTCTTCATGAAATACAATGTGCAGACCTAGACACAAGTCACCTAATGATGCCTCATCACCACTGAGCTGAGCAGAATAGCTCCACTTCCTTTCTTACATAAGATACTGCTAATACACTCCTCAGGCAGTACTTCAGACCTCTCCTAGGAAACCTGATACAAAGCTTCCTAATGTCAGTCTTTCTACTGATTTCAGTACACTTTGGAGCAGGCTACTAACTCCTTATCCCCAAAGCCTTCCCTCAAGCATGCTCCTTACTCTGCTGCCCAAGCCCTTCCTCCTGAGCAGCTGTGCAATGGCAGGGGGAAGCTGAGCTGAGACTGAGCCCAGTCCATTTAGCTGTGCCCCACCATGCTATAGTGTCCCATGAAGAAAGGCTCCATATCATACCTTCTCAGTGTAGGCTGAAGGAGGCAGAGGGAACTGGATCCCATTGATTACAAAGATGATATCAGGCAGGCTGGGAATGTCACTGCAGTTGACAGTATACTACAGAGGACCAAAAAAAAAAAATCCATTTATGAAACAATTAACACGGCCATTTACAAGAAAAAAGGGGTAGAGGGTCAGTCTTGGAAGCCAAGTGGTCTGGGGTGTGGGTAGTACTTGGATGGGAGACCACCCTGTAATCCTATATTTGTAACAAGAAGTCGTGGCTGAATTGTCACTACTGAGAAATAAATGGAAATAGGCAGAGTTTGTAGGTTGTTTTGGCTATAAATTAGGCAGGTTGAAGACAGCATTGGTTTTCTCAAAAGATCATTGAAACACAACTGAGATAATTATTGATTCAGATGTATAAATACCTTAATAAACACACATATTTTTTTTGTTAATGCCATGGATGACCAAACCAGACCCTCACCAGTGCATCAACCTGACTGATCCAGCCCAAGAGAAAGGACTGATCATCCCAAAAAGGAAGAATTAACTGTTGATATAACAGTTGTAATAAAATAAATCCAGAGTTTCTAGCCCTCTTCCCCCCTTCCTCTCACATATGTCAAGCCCTGGAGTCAGCCAGGGTAGTGCCCAAAGCTGGTGTAGGATGAATTTTCTCCCTAATTATTTTGATGCAATTCTTATGATATTTATGACATTACATTGTGTAAAGGAATAGTGTTTTTTTCCCCCCATACCTGAACCCTAAGTCAAAGGTGTGCACAACCCTAATGGCCATGTTGGGCTAGTGCATACCAGTTTTGATAGCCAACTATACACTGGGGAATTATGTGGCCTTTGCCTTCACACACTGACCAAGCCCTATGTATAGTAGGGTCAGCTGGGGGCAGCTTTCAGTGCAAGACCACATTGGGGCTCAAACTCATGCTTCTCGAGCTGTGGTAAGACATACAAAATAGTTTGATGCCATGGCTCCATCTGAGATAAAGTATTTCTTTGGACCAATAGGAAGTAGGGAACTAGAATAGAGAAGGTCTCACGTGAAGCCCTAGGACTAACCAGGACCCTGTTGTTGTTTGTCCTGAGTTACTAGTAAAGCCAAAGCTCAGGAAGTGGAGTGAGGCCCAGCCTGCAGGCTCTGCTGGGAAGATCCCAGGGACTGAAACCCTTTGAGTGTAGGGTGTGGTGTGACAACAGGCTCCCTGAAGGACTCTCACCCGGCCATCCTGTTCCAGAGTAGCTCCAGTCACTTTCTGTATCTTGCAGATGTCTGGTGAGGGCCCAACCAAGAGAGAAGTGCCGGTATCAACAATAGCTTGGCAGCCAGATTCACAGGCGATCACCTTGCCATTCACAATGATGCTGAACAAGTGAAAACATAAATAAGATGCTTGAACTTGAATGGGCAAGGATGCACAGGAGGCTGTAAAATGTTAGATCTTAACAACGCAAGAAACAGCATTACTTCCTCAGGCTCAGGCCTAGAGTGGATGAATCAGTAAATGCACTGTCCTTACTCATGCCACATCTCATTGACTTCTTCCTGATGTCTGCCTGAACAAAGGCTCCAGGAGCCTGGCCTCCATACAATCAAATGCCATAACATGAAGGGTGCGAACCAAAGCCCACTGAAGTCAAGAGGACCTTTCTCCAATCTACTAAGGTTTGCAACAGCCCCAGGAAAACTGGGACAGATTCCAGTCCAGCTCCACTGGCATAACGAAACTATGACAGTTCAGACAAGCTGAGGATCTGGAATGACTCCACACTCAGCTGGGGCTGATCCAGCTCCAAGCTCCAAGCTCCAGCTGGAGGTGATCAGGGCCCTGACTGAGTGATCCCCAGGGCCCACAGGAAGAGGTGCCACCCACACTGGCCTACATAAGCTGGTACCAGCTGGCAGAGTGTTGTCTGAGCAACTGAACTGCTTGGCTGTGTCTCCTGGGCTGTCCTGCATGACTGCTTGCTTTCTCCTAGATCCTGAATCTTGCCTCATCTAAACCTGTGCCTTGTTCCTGCCAGTACCTTGCACTGCCTGAACCTGTGCCTCTCCTGCCTGGATCCTTCTCTATGTCCTGTCTGTCTCTACTCTTATGTCTGCCTGATCCCATCTTGGACCGGTTATACAATAATGATTATTGTAAAAGTCCATTGAGATGTGAAGTGACATCATTAAGGTCAGCCAGCCAGTCAGTGCGAAGGTTGGGAACAGTCTGGTTTCCTAAGTTCCAGGGAGATGGGGTCTGCAGCCAAATTTACAAAGGTATTTAGGCACCCAAAGATGCCCATAGCACCTAACATGATTTACATGAGGGCCAAAGAGGGTTAGACACCACTGACATCCTGACTCCTAAAGTCAATGTGAGTTAGGTACTAATGGAGGAAAAATGAGCTTTGGGTTTATAATTGCAACTGTGGAAGTGTACCAAAGAGCATCATAGTTATTTAATTACCTTTGTGTGTTACATACCTGTCCATTGAGATCTGCCAATAGCCCTGGTAAGACACAGGGATCCAGTGGATAGGGCCAGTAAAGT